GAGGTTTACAGCATGGACTTCAAGGGAACAGACCTCGTAGAAAGGCTTCGAGCCACCATTGGCTAGCGACTGTCATCTGTGTCCATTCTATGGTATTGTTAGTTTGCCATTAGTTTTATTTTTTAAAAATGGGCTATTGAAATAATATTATTCCTTCAAGGAACTGAAACCTAATTCATAAAAGCAAAAGCAACAGTTACAAAAACCGTTGATTCCTGGTTTCTTCCAACCTGTACCCATATAATGGCTCCTGGAGATAATGGGTTTTAATGGCAAATTCTTCAGAATTAAATGGTTCAATTGAGAATTGAGGTATAGATAAAACTGAGCCACCTGACATCAAAATGTCATAAGAATCTGAAAAATTCTTTCCTGAAATGGCGAACTTATTTTCCACGAACTTTTTAATAAAACGACTCAATTTCCACTCTTATTAATGCTTTAAATAATAGTAGTAATATAAAAAAAAAAAAAAAAAAAAAAAAAAAAAAAAAACTATCCAAAACGTCACCGTGAAAAGTACCATGAGGACATGGAAAAGTTAAAGATAAAGTTTCCCGCAAAACAAATTAAACAAAAGCGGCAATTTGCAACGTTGCAATCAAAGGAAGCATTTTCCGACTTTAACCATCAATGTGTACTGTTGATCCGTTTTCAGTAACGTCGACTATCGCTCCGTTTATTCCATTAAAGCAATAGTCTTCCAGGAGTTCCAGGCGGCGAATTCAACGCGTAAAAATAGCCTTCAATTGCGAGGTTATACTCAACGTGTACAGCAGCGTTCGAATAGTTGTATGACAACGCCGTGCACTTAGAATGCGTCTGCGAGCTCTCTCCATACGCTGCGCTGACGGTGAGTCGCTTATAAGTATATGTTTTACTATGCGTGTACTGTTTTCAACTGAAAAACTTCGAGATAATAGTATTTAGTCATGATCACAGTTTCCTCTCATTTGGTTTGATCAATAAATGATGCATATATTTGCACTGCTTGTCTCATATTCATTACTGATAAAACTTATGATATGAAACATTAGTAAACGTTGAATTGGACAAGACTTGGCTGAATAAGACGAAGAAGGACGTCACTCAATCACTCAACTCATCTCTTAAAAAGCTATTTTATATCTTCCTTAATTCAAAATGTTGCAGTTTGGCGCCTGGATTGAAGTTTTTATTTTTAGCAAACCCATTGTTTTAATATTAACAGCACGAGTCTATGACAACTATGCTTAATGTATTCTGAGAAAACTGTTACTCTTCCTTTTTTTTGAGCGACATTCACAGTTACGGTTTTCATTTTCTGGTCCTGGAAGTTAGAATCCTTGCCGATAGCTCGTGCTGAAAAAGCGCCTTCATACTCGGGGGCCGCAACGTTTTGTACATAGAATTAAGGAACTCTTACATTTTAGACAAGTAGCTTGCATGAGTGGGTCTCGCATGATTTTCGGTTGAATTTTCATCTTTATTTTACTCCAGAGAAAAAGATTGAAACCGTACTGAATGTTTAAAATACATTTATATCGAGAAATATAACATAAAAAATCATTTGGGTGCAACATGATAGTTGTTGAGGAAGTTCTACAGGCAGTATTTCCAACTTGCAGAGCAGTTCACTCTATTGCGTTCTGATCGGGCATGCGGACTGTGAGAAATACACCTTTTGATAATAAAATACACTATTGAATACAGCCGTAATTGGAGATAAAAGTATTAAAAACCATGAAATAAACAGAAAACATCAGTTTATCTATGCAGAAAAATCTCACAAAAAAGATTTGAAGAAAACACTTTTGAGAGTATTTTTGCAGGATGTCCATGAAATTTTAAAAGTTCAGCTTGTTGGAAAGCTGAAAGGGTGCCTATTTCAACGCAGTCTTAATTGAACTCCCAGTGTTCATAAAGATATTTATGACAAGATATTCAAGTGATATTTACAAAGAATCTCTTAAGCAAGCACTCCGACTTCCTTCAGAATTTGGTGTTCATAAAAACACTCAAGAGACGTGAAGCCCATTTGAATCGAGCATAAACGCAGAACCAGAAAAGTAGATATACTACTAACTACTACATTATAGACGGTTAAAATAACTCATGGATCATACCTGCTCATCATCGTCACCAGGATTGTTATTGTTGAGAGTCATCTTGAAAATCGTGGTTATTCGAGAGCTTTCGTCACTTTCCAACAAAAACGTTTAAAAAGTCACGAGAACTCAGTTTTCCAACTTTTAAATGTATCAACTCTGTGCTTTATTTTGCGGTTCAATTCAATCCGATGCTGAAAGCAGTCGCAAAACGGTCAACTGCTTACTTTACTGTGGCCTCCGAATGAAACACCAAATAGTTTCCGAGAAAGAATCATATCTGCTGACATGTCCAAAGTCTAATTGAAAGTAGGCCTGCTAAGAAATTACGGAAAGTTTTGCCTGCAGATGAAGGACATCTTTTTAGCGCCAAGATCAGAGAGGAGACAAACCCACACGACACAGGAATTTACGAGTCAGTTATCGTTGATTGATTCAATTGATTGCTCAGTCTCCAGGATGACTTAATTCTCTGATGTATGAGCCAAGGGAAGAATCATATACGATTAGACTTAAACACGCTAGGCATGAAAATTAGAACCTTAAAATAAGTTTTTAGTCAAATTTTATCAGACAATTTTTGGCTCTGACCACACTCTTGTCGATAGAGTAACGATTTTTCTTCGTTTTAATTATAGCAGATTGATTTGAGTCTTTCACTGATCGCTCCAGTCTAACATTGGAACCTTAAAAAATAATTTACGCGACTAATCTTCCAAAACTTACTTTAGAAGCTGAATAAACACTGAGTACACAAGAGAAGGTTAATAATGATTAGGAATTAGGGAAAAAATCAGCCAAAAAAGGCAATCACTGAAGTGCTTATACGGAAGCTTACTAAACACCGATTACACGAGTGAAGATTAATAATAATTAGGAATTCTGAAAAATTCGAGTTTAATATGTGTCGCTTAGAGTTGAAATTTGTTTTATCACCGCTTGTCTCGTCACGTCAACATATGCTATCAACGACTTTAAGTACTTTTTCGAACTAGTAGACCGGTATTAAGTGGCATAAATGAAACCAAAACGTTAACTACTTTTTGATTTAAAAATTCAATTCATAAAATTTTCAACACAGTTCCGGAAATCGACACTTTCTATCGTTCGGGAGTTTCCAAAGATGACTTGCTCGTAGTCGTGGCGACACCAGAGAAAATGAACCACCTCGTTCGCGGTCATTCTATCACTAAAGCGAAATCTGTCACGCGCTCGGATAGAATTTTACGACGGATTAATTCCGATTTGGATTATTTCATCCACGCGGAACCACGGTTTATAACGTCACGTGAAAAGCAACCCCGGGCTCGGGTGTCGATACAGGTGGAGGAATAGACAAGCACTGGAAGCAACAGCGACGAGTCGGAAACGGGAGCGAATTAGGGTAGCCGCGATTCGGCGGAAAAAACTATCGGTGCACGTGTATGTGACACGGCAGCACGTGAGGGCTGACCCACACGTGACGTTAACCTGTGAGCTCCTTACGATTGACGTCATCCGGATCAATGGGCGAAAAGGTGCATGAACGGGTGGGAGGCGAAGAAGCGGTGGCTGTCCTGTAAAGCTCGTTTAAGATTGAGGGTGAGGGTGGTTTCAGACGACAAGATAGTCGGCACTGTCACGTTGAAAATGTATTATTGTCAAGGATTGTTCGTTGTAAATTTTATCTGCATGCCATGTGAGCGAAATGGAGCTTTGCTCTTAAACCACGTCTGTGCGAAAGAATAAGTTGTTTTTACAACGTCCAGAAATCACTCGTCGACGTCTCGCGACGGTGAGACCCCAAAACCAAGTATCTCGCCTCAGACTTCCTGTCACACTTCATTTTTCATTGAAAATTCTTTGAAAAGTTATAAAGAATGATGTAGGTTTTTTTCTCTTTTAATAAAATAAAGAAACATCGAATATTTGGACTACATTTTGCAATTAGAAACTATAAAGTCCGGCACGGTTAAAAAACAACTTATGTGCCTTTAGTTTCCTTATGCACATCAGTGTTTTTTCAGATGCGCCAGAATTTATAGCTCCAAATTGCAAAATTCAGTCCATTTTAAAAAACCACAAAAATAAGACACGTGGTTTGGGAGTCTCACCGCCAATGAGTGTTAAGTGTTGATTTGGCTTTAAAACGATGCAACTATTTGGCCTTCTGGGGCCACGTTAGGAAGTATCTTTTCACATTGAAGGCGTTACTTCTGCGTCGACACGCTTCATCAAAGAATTATCTGGATCAATCGTATTACTAGCTGATTCAGCCGTGATAGCGAAAATAGCAGTAAGTGCATTTCTGTATGAGCCATAATAAGCAGTGGCGTGGCGTGAAGTGCGATGTATCGATTGTTCTGCCATTTAAACCTATGGAAAAGAATCGATAAACAGGGTGTTCGCAGCGAACACCTTAATAATCGATTCTTTACCATAGGTTTAAATGGCAGAACAATCGATACATCGCAATTCACGCCACGCCACTGATAATTAGCACATGCCATGTTTCTCGAGGCTCATCCCAGCATGCACTTATTGCTCTCTTCGCTATCACGGGCAGAATTTGCGTGCTACCGCACTGTTGATTGGGTTTTTGAAAGATGCAACTACGTATTCGGCCTTTGCGGCCACTCTAGGAGGAATCTTTTCATAATGAGGGCGACATTCGACCCGTTATATTGACACCGTAGATCACTGATGATCGTGCTGAAACCGGAATACTTGCGACTTAATTTTTGCATAGTCCTCTCATGGACGTTACTTGAATTTTCGAGATAAATTCTCTAGTGTCTCTCTCTATTGAGACAAGAGAAAACAAGAAAACGGAATCAGGATCGGCGATTTCGAGACACTCATGCGATCGAAGTACGTGCTGTCGTATTTTCATCTGTTCCATGACAGGGTAAAGGAAAATGAAAAAAATAAAAATAATAATCAAGAATTGTTTTTCATTCAAAAAATGGAATTTGCGAGGAAAATAACGCTGAATTATGAGATACCTGTTATGTAGCCTTGATAGAAGCTACAAGAACTTCGATTATTTCATTTGATTCTCCATTCGAACCCAAAATCAGGCGGACATTTCACCGTATTTAGGATGCAAGAATGTAACTAACTAATTATAAATGTCAACGTTGCAATCTTTTCTCCGGCAAATATAATTTTCACCGGAGACTGTATTACATTTCTGAAAGAAAATTTCTCCATAATTTTTCTTCTGATTCCACACAAAAAATGGCAGAATAAATTGTGGACAGAAATCACTTATTCTTTTAATTGCCTGTATTAATCAGAGTTGCCTCACGGAAAAAAAGTGTAAGGGGTTATCCCCTAAAATTGTGCTATTACCCCAATTTGTTGGATGATATATGGATATTTCAAATTAGTTGTAGTAGTACTGCAATTCAAGTTGAGATCGTACCGCACCATTTGGATTAGTAACCTAATTTATTGGAGTACTACCACAATAAATTGGGGCACTACCGCAAGTAATAGGGGTTCTACCACAATTAATTGGAAATGCCCATATCATCCAACAACATCGTGCTTATTTTTATCCGTGCTGAGTTAGTTTTGCAACTTTGGGATGAAGAAACGTTCCCGTGTCTGGGAGACGATGATTTTGCGGATACCCTTCTCTCTTGTGTGTAAAGTGCCAGATACACCTGCGAGCTAGACGCGCGTGTTGAGCGGCGAGTAGGCCTTAGGCCGTGTTCGGCAGATTCCGTAGCCAATCAGGTTGCAAATCGCCGCCTGTAACTCGGCTAAAGAGCCTACTTTTCGCGTCTAGACGCGCGTCTAGCAAGCAGGTGAATATGGCGCGTTATTAGGGCATCTTTACAATATGGCTCAAGCACACTGCTTAATAGGTATGTTACCACTTGGGGTTTGAACGACACAGGTCTCGTGTCCGTCGATTTCCTGGCACGTGGCGAAGGTTGCCCCAGCGCAAGGACTACCCTTCCCAGCGGTGCCTGCAGGCCCCGTTTGCGTCTGCTGCTGCTGCTGCTGTCCGTAACCCGAGGTGAGACTCTGAAGGTTCATCGGACCACTCATCGCCCTCTGCTGACGCGTCGTACCGTAGTCGTCCGTGTCAGTCCCAGCAGGTGTCATCGGTGTCGCTTTCTGGGAAGTCTGCTGAGGGTTCACACCAGGAGACACTGTGTTCGGGTTTCCACCCTTTGGACTCATCCCGTTTGGACTCACTCCATTTGGACTCATCCCGTTTGGACTCATCCCGTTTGGGCTCATCATTCCGTTTTGTTGAGGGTTCATGGTACCGCCACCTTGTTGGGGGTTCGTGTTACCGCCTGCGTTCGGGCTGTTGAACCAGCTCGAGTATTTTTGTAGCATGCTTTGACACCTGGGAAGAATGAAATGGATTCGTACTGAGTCAATTAAAATCAATAAAAGCGCGAATGTCCAAGTGGCTATGTATATAACTCTGAAAGAGCACCTGGCCAGCCGGGGAATGTTGTAGCTCCGATATTGAGGCTGTCGATCTGCAAAGACTATGACAGTAACGCTTAGAGTGCGATCTAACTAAGTAGCATTCTAGTTTTTTTTTTTTTAATTATGAGTGAAAAATTTGAATCAATGCATCGAAAAACTCCAATATCTTTGTTCGGAGTTACTGTCGATACTCTTTGTTGTAAAAGTCGTGCTCCAGTTGAAATTTCGATTATAAAAATATATCATATCATTTTGAATTCTCATCTCGTTTATCGCTCTATTACAAAACAACTTCGGGTCTTTTGAGACCTAAATCCTTCAGACTGGGTTCATATCTGGGCGTTGAGTTACAGCAGACGTGTGGGGGATGGTATGGATTCTATCAACATGAATCTAGCAACAAATAAAAGCGTGAACCGATCGACACCGATTCGATCGACAAGCCCGTGAATCGATCGGCAAGCCCGTAAATCGATCAACAAACCCGTAAATCGATCGACAAACCCGTCAATCGATCGAATGCTTTCGATCGAACCGAAACCAGTTTTTTAATAATTTGTCGATCGAATCGGTGTCGATCGATTCACGTTTTTATTTTTCGACTCGACAGCACTTCATTAAAACTGCCGTGGTGTTTCTTCTCTGTGCGAAGAAAGTTCTGCAAAAACTCCGAGGAATGATGTCAATTTCTTCTCCTCTAAAAAAATAATATAGAAACGGAGATTTTCAAACACCGCAAACGAGATACGCGGTTGTGAACTTACGCCGTCGGTGTATTTTAAGGAGTATCGAAAGGACTAAAAACACAGCCCACTTGAGGCCAAACTTCAAAATTATCAATACAACCGCAGTCGTTCAAATTTTTGAACGAGGAAATACTAATACCTCGTACAGGAAAATTCCGTCGAGAAAACTCGGGGTCATGCGCATTCAATCCACACGGAGAAAAACTTTTTGCGCATGGGACCCAAAGTTGAGGTCATATGGATCTCTGAAGTTTTCTGATCAAGCATCTGGAAACTCGAGGTCGAGCTGCCGAAGTTCGGGTCAGACATCGAGGCACTTCGGTATGTACCAAAGTGCTTCAGATGTGTGACCCGAACCCTTCGGTATACATCGAAGTACTTCAGATGTCTGACGTGAACTTCGACAGCTGGACCTCAAGTTTTTGGAAACGTGATCCGAAAACTTCAGAGATCCATATGACCTCAACTTCGGGTCCCACGTATGAAGTTGTTTTCTCCGTGCAGCGTCTTCAACTACATAGCATCCGACTATAATCTCAAAATATTTTCAATTCGAAAAAATTCACGCGGATCGAATCCATACCCTCCGAAGTGTGGGCGGACTGAGTTTACAGACCTCTGGTTGGCTGCGATCCTGGAGTCCATCTGTCCGTCGGCGGTGAAGCCGGCGCCATGAAGGGCGCACGGGTTCTCCTTCTTCATCTGTTTGAGGACGAGGCTGGTGGTGAGGTAGCCGGCAGCAGCCCCCGCGGCCACCGGGAGCAGCATCCCGGCGGCCTTTCCAAATCCGCCGCGTCTTCGCGCCGGAGGAGGCGGTGGCATCGGGCGATACGGGTGTCCGTACGCCGGCGGCGGGGGCGGTACCCCCTTCGACCGACTCCGCCCGAACCAACCTCGCTTACTCAGCGCGTGAACCGCTGAGGTCTCATCCGCCCCCGCCTTCAGTGGAAAAATCAAGGTAATACAAAATGAAATAGCTTAAGACAGATGGAATTACCCTGACATACACAATGGAGGGCGGAAATGACAGATAAATTACGGAAACGGCCAAAATTTTACGCCTAGCTGATTATTTGATAAAGCCCAGATTGCTGAAATTGATAAAGAAAGCTATAGAAAAAAAACAACAAGGAAATGAAGGGGTCCTACTGGTGGAGGTAGGTGGTTGCAATAGGAAAAGGTGGTAATAAAGAATGAAATAGCTTAAGACAGATGGAATTACCCTGACATACACAATGGAGCACTGGAAAAAAAACACATTGGATATAGAGTCCAGACTCTTGAAAACATTGACAAGAAAGAATACTCTTGATTCAATCGGATTTTTGATTGAATCAAAACGAAATCCGGTTAAATTATGAGGCTTGGTTTTTGATTTACGCTAGATTCTGATTGAATCAAGAGTACTTTTTCTTATCGATGTTTTTAAGAGTCTGGACTCTAGATCCAATGTGTTTTTTTTCCAGTGAGGGCGGAAATGACGGAATCCGTTTTTTTTTTTTTGATACCTACATTTGAAAAATTGCAACATTTGCCGCCCCCTAAAGTTGCCGCCATGGGCCACGGCCCATGTGGCCAGCCCCTAAATCCGGCCCTGATTGTATAATTTACATTTGAAACGTGTCGGGCATATTTTTTAACAATTTAATTGTTAAATCAGCAATCTATTTTTTTTTGTACAAGCGTTCAGCGTTGCGTGTTACTCGAATAAGATTTGATGATATTTGCATTTTTACTCAAAATTCGAAGATACGAGTACTCTCTTACAAACGATGTTGGGCAGAAACACTTTCTATACTTTTTTTTCATGCGATAAAAATCAGCCGCATAAAATGTTCGCTAAGAGTTCCCCGCTGAATGTATAGCAGTTTTTATTTAATGATGCTGCAGTTCAACAGTGAGACTCCCGAACCACGTATCTCGGTTTGCGACGTTGCAGACTTCCTATCATACTTTTACTTTTAAATAAACATCAGTTACTCAACGGCAATTTTTAAAAACTTCCGTGGTTTTTCTTCTCCGTGCGAAGCAAATTCTAGGGAAACCAAGGAGATAATGTAGGTATGTTCTCCTTTCAAAAAATAAAACCGGAGTGGGGATTTTTAAACATCGCAAATGAGATGCGTGGTTTGGGAGTTCAGCGAGTATCACCGCGCGTCAATTTGGATTTTAAATAGGAACACTAGAGGACACGGGAAACATAGTGATAACCATGCGTTTCGGATGAGATAAGACGTTTATCAGCTTTGAAAGCTGAGGTTTCATCTTCCATGATGTTTTCCTTATTTTTGAGTAACTACCTTTAACTCAAAATTATATGATTCTTCTTATAATAAATTATAAATACTCATCTCATAAGGATCCGTATTTTATTGTAATAAAACAGAAAATCAGTAAATTTCGAATAATGGAGTACGTGATACTAAAGTGGACGTATTTATGCTAAAAGGAACTATGTGCATAGTGTTTGCGTGAGATATAGTTCCTTTTGGCATACATACATCCAAATGTAGATTCGCTTAGGGCTTCGCCTAAAACGGATCTGTGAGTGAGGGGCTTGGAGGACGATAGGCATAAGGTACAGTTTTTGCTATTCCGAGAAATGCGTGAAAGAAGTTTCGAAATCGCATGGATCCTTATGATGGAAAGAAATTTCAAACTGATTGTTTGATGTTTAAAAATTGGAATTTAGGAGCGAATATTTCAGAGATTGTGCCTTCAGACTAGTTTTTACTTTTAATCATTATAATGCGGTAGATTAGTATTGTCTTCATCTTGCGTAGATAAATTGTGAGATTCACAAATAATAACATTCACTGATTGTCCAGGGAGAAACAACGAAAATGGACATCTCGAAATTCGCAATCGAGATAAACGTTTAGGGACTTTAACCATAGATTACTTCGAAGAAACCCCTCCCCCGCTTTAAAGGGGATAAATTACCCTCTTTAATTTGTTGTAGGGGGAGAGGGGAGGGGAGTGATTTCACATTGAGGAGAAAGGCGGTGTATAAAAATATCTTACCGGTATTTGTATCATCCCACATATCTGGGACACCGAAACAAAAGTAAGGACTGTGAAGATATAGATTTGTTGAGAATTCATTGTATCCTACCCAAAATGTACAAACAAAGGAAAATTCAATTAACCTCGATAAGTATTAGAATACTTATTCTGCCAGGATGCGAACTGAAAGAAAATTAGAAGAAATTCGCACTTTCCTACCCTCAACAATTGGTTTCAATGATCAAGGCTGAGCTTAGCATACGTCAAGCCAGCGGTATCGTTTGAACTGATCCTCATTTCCTTGTGTACTTTAGCTCTTTGATGTTACGATATTTTGAGAATGGCTATCGTAATGGAAATTAAGTACGCCTCCAAATAAACTGGGTAATTTGTGAGTGGGTAACTGGGTATAGCAGTTGTGCAAAGTTTACCCGCAGTCCCGCAGTAAGTTTAATCAAATGTGTTTTGGTCTTGCTGTATGCCATACCTTGATCGGGCACTCCATTCCTAGCTCCAACTATTTATTGTTCAATAGGGAAAACGAAGCAAGGGGAGCAAGGAGAATACTTTTCGATATTAACTTTTAAAATTTCGTGGCGCTCATTAAAATTGGATGATGAACGGGATTATTTGGACTTCATTTTGCAATGGTGAATTAAAATTTTTGGCTCACGTTAGAAACGACGCATGTGCCGTTAGTTTCTCTATGCAGATGGGTGCTTTTACGGATGGTTCAGAGACTTCACTTCCTTATTGCAGAATTATGTCCATTGTCATGTCCAGGACCGTATTAGTTGCGAAGTTTAAACTGGGCCACAGTTTGTAATAAGGGACTCCCTCTCTCCTATCGATTGCCGCAAAAATTATGAAAATCGGCCCGGTAGAACGCTGGAACTGAGCGTTACCAGAATACGCAAATGTAGGAGGCATCGGAGATTATAGTATAGACAAGAGGCCTGTGGCCGCTACGCGGCCTCCAACCAATGAGAAGAACTACACGTTAAAAAATAGTAGAACTACCACGTTCAAGTTATTTAGGAGATGAATGCATTCAAAAGACGACAGGTGCACGCGAAAAAAAGCATATTTATCTCCGATTGCAACGTTATGCACCAATTGTTATGTTTCATTTATGAACACAGTTTTTAAAAAGCTACACACAGTTTTTCCCACAAATTTCTTAAATGACCTCAAGTGTAAGCAGTGAAACTTTTGAAGCGGTATTGTCGTTATCATTCTATTTTCTTTCTACGTAACAAAAAAAAAAAAATTAAATATCATGCGAGTTTCTAAATCGTTGCAATGAGGATACATATTTTCCCTTTAATTATGGTAAAAAACGGAGCAAGGGGTCATAAATGATGACACATAATCCTAGTTTACCGGTGGCTTCAGCGTCGCGCGAGCCTGGGAATGGAACGCGGTGGAGTCATCTTTGCAGTGTGACGCGCCTTCCATCCGGCTGGCGGTAATACGCCAACATCCATGGTCGAATAGTTATCTCGTTACGCCTGCCGTAAATAAAATTAAATATGGACGCCTGGACGCGGAAAAAAGTGTTCTTATCTCCGATTGCAACGTTGTAAATATCTACTCATGCATGTTTAAGTTTGATCGATTTTTTTTTTTTTTACAAGAAGCTGCCTACACACATAAAAGAACAACCGAGAGACCGAGACTCAGGTCTCGCGGTAACAGCGTAGCGACGGCTCGTTTTTATTTTAATTCATTTTCCAGTTGAAAATGAAATTGTAACTATTTTGAAACGTTCCGGGTTTTGTTTATCCTTTGTACTTTTTTTGCAGCCTTTTCCCTAAATTAAGTTATTCTTTTATTATGTGTATTTTGGCTGATTAAGTTTTTTTTCATTCTGCCCACACACAGTTTATTAGAGGTTTCCGAGAAATTTCCGGAATGGTCTAAACTAAAATCACAACAAATTTCGACGCGATATTTTCGTTCGTCCTGGTTTTTTTTTATTTTACTTGTTAATTTATTCATTATTGATACAGATTCATTATTGATTACAGGGGGACTCTGAACTTTCAAATTTAACCGGTGTGGAGGTTACCCCTGTGCCCCATCAGAAAAGTCTCTGAGGACAACGGGACCCTCAAATTTGGATTCCTTGGGGTCGATTACCTAGGAATACACATTTTTTCCGAGTCTCTACGTCAATTTAACGAACTTGAATTTTTTTGAAAGGGGGCTCTGTCCCCCACCTTTAGGAGTCGGTATTTTGGACACGGATGGGCCGATTTTGGATTTCTTGGTGTCGATTTAAGCTAAAATTTTCCGTACGTTCTGATTCCGATGAAATAATTTCAAAATTTTGACATTAACCTTGACTTTTGAAGTACGGACCCCCCTTTTACCCCCCAAGGGTCGCCAGGGAGGCTCTAGGACCATAAAATTCGGATTCCTTGGGGTTGATTCCCTATTCATCCCCGCAATCCTGAACTTCGTACGACCCAAATTAACCGAAAAAAAGGCCTGGTACGGTAGGTCTGGGCCACCCTGTATATCCACTTAAATTTCATACCCAGGTAGCAATAGTAACAGTTCAAAATTGCAATTTCACAACAGTTTTTACACTGTTACTTTTGTGCACTTTTTAGTACAACAGTTGAAAAACCAACGGAAAAGAGAAGTCCTTTGCGACTATAATCACTGAAAAATTTTTCTTACATACTTAAAAAATACCAGTGGAAAATTTATAATTTAGTCATGTTTTCTGAAAATATAACACAAATTTAACTAGTGTTATACACCGATCGAAAAGGAAACTATTATTGCAATAAAAACATACTTAGATTTGAAANAATAGGAATATAGCGCCTGAAACTGTTGTAACTGGGGAGTACTTTAATCGATCTTTTCAACCGATATAAATTGTTTTTTTATAATATATTAATAGGAATTAAAACTCTCATTTAAAAGCAATAAAACTGTTATTTCGAAGATATAATAAAAATTATTTTATAGCAGACCTTGCTACCTGGGATGTCCATCACTTTATTGTGTGGTTGACGCATGGATTGCATTTTGCAAAAAGGAACTAGATACATTGCCATGTTGCTAAGATTGTGCGACTTCACCCTTTGCAATAAAATTACTGTAATCATGCAAAAATATGGAATTTACATGGTAATTTTGGTCTTAAATTTACAATTTTTAGCGTGTGAAATAGAAAATGTGTATAGATGACCAGGTTTTTCTTCCAAGACAAGAGAAGTTGCACAATCTTAGCAACATTGCAATGCTCTTGGTTCCTTTTTGCAAAATGCAGTTCACATGATGTATGTATATTACAAATCAGCCAATGATTGACAACACTGTCAGAATTTACAAACATTACAAAGAAACAATCTCAGTAAAGAAGTACCTCCGCGCTTGTGCACCTCAAGCTGCGTATGTCACGCGCAGATCCAACACACTCAGACGAAGACTGAGTTGAGTTGAAAGATTCTTAAACATTTTAGATGCATGTTTCTCCCTTTCTACTCGCTTTTGGACCTAAATTTTGGACCTAGTTTTTTTTACCTTACTGGACAGCAAAAATGTGACAAAAAAACGCTAGACAAACGAGAGCGTATGACTAAGTATTTAGTGGGACGAATTTCACCTGGAAAAGATTTCGAGGGCGAAAATCCGTGGACAAAATAATAATTGGACAAAAAAGTTCATGGACATAAAAAATTGAACCAAAAGTCCTAAAAGCAAGTCATGAGTAGGCAGAGAGATCTTTGTAATTTCTGTCGAAAAATCGGATCGGAAAGATCATTTCATATAAAAAAAATCGAATCGGAAAGATCATTTCATATAAGAAAAAATAAGTGGGTTTCGTTCATATGTGTGCCAAAGGAGGCCGTTAAATTGCTAACATTCTATGATTAGGGCTGAATTTTGCCATTAGGAACCACTCTTTCTATAGCTTATGTATAAGAAACAGCATATGTGCCATGAGTTTCCCTAGATGCAGATAGGTGTTTTAACGAATGAGCCAGAAATTGTGGTTCCAAAATGCAATATGTAGTCCATTTCATAACCCAAAAGTAGCAGATTAAAGCTATAGTTGTTTTCTCAAAACTTCGTTTTTTTAACTGTAAACTACGAACCGCTGCTACAGTTCCGGTTTTGTTATCATTTATTTGGACTAAATTTTTCATTAGAGACTAGTGTTTTTGGCTCATCCATAAAAACACCTATCTGCATGAGAAAACAAATGGCACATACATATGCATTGTTTCAAGAATTAACCGTAAATAATAGTTCCTTAACGCAAGATGTAGTCAAATTGGCACTTTTACTGTCTGTAGGTAGATCATCCATGTACACTGGTGTCAATTTCTCAAGTTTGAGCTCCTGTGGACTCCACGCACGGTTTACGGAGGACGGGTAAGGATGCTAAAACGCCTTCAACTATCGGGGTATGTGACCTGCGTGCCGCCTGAACGCGTCTCCGGCTCGTACAAGGAATGCACTGCATTCCTCGTATTTAAACATTCCTTAAACTGGGCAGTTACTGCGATAATTTTCCAGACCAATACGCGTGGGAAGAACTATACTTGAGTCTTTGAACATTTGGGGTGTCAAAAAATTGAAACATGCTGAAATTTTCTACGTGTTATTCGAATAGGATTACATACCTTATCAGCGATTCATACGTTCGTAACACACAAGTTAGGAAGCAAGAAAATCTGAAAAAGAAGAAAAGAAGAAATATAATAGTTATTGTGATGTATCAAGAGGATTAGAGCTTTGAACTGCAGCAAAGACAGGACGTCATGCAGTTTAGGGCTGGAAGAACATGACTTAGTGAGTAAGTTAATTTAGTTACTTAATTTGATGTATATATAAGTGATTAAGTATGTATAGTATGGGAGCCATCCAGTCAAGAGAAATTTCAAATTTAAACCAGCAATTAAAATTTAAATTTGAAAAGTTCTCTTGACTGGATGTCTCCCATACTGTACATACTTAGGTAATAGTCATTTCATTACTTTTTAAGTGATTAAGTGTACAAACGTCCCTACTTCAAAAATACAAATACAGCCTCAGGACGGTGCGGATGCGCAAGGGGAGAAAATAAATAATTTATTGACAGGAGAGAAGTTATCTCAGACTTGACAATAGGTCAGTTGCGCAGGTAACAGAATCGTGTTTTGATGCTTGATTCTTGTAGATTAGCTAAAAAATAAGATCCGTCCGAACAGAAACTTGTTCAATATTAACCGAGATATCGTCTTTGAAAAACTCAATTTATAACTCATCCACCGTCGTAGTACATACTATGTTATGCACTACCGC